ACAATTTGGATTCCGATTACAAAAGAGAGGAGAATGAATTTGATTCTCCCCTTTGTTTAATTCTGGGTTCTTCACGGTGGCGATGGAGTGTCTCATTCGAATGCTCGCATAGAATTTGCTCTCTGTTGACGATCCGAACTTTTTGATTCACTGGAACGATATCTTCTCCTCACGATTCGACGCCGTGGAGAACTTGCGTGGCAAGTTTAAAACTCTTGATGAGTTGATAACTCTGAACGAGTTTGAAACTCTATGAAAGAGTTGATTTGAACCGAAAGTCGGTTAATCCGCCAAGGTCGAAAGCTCTCAGGACTACTCTCAAAAGATGAATGTTGATCTCTCTTTTGTGCAGTTTTGATCTTCAAAACTCCAAATCGAAGATCCCCAAGAAGAAGCCAAAGATCTCCTCCTCGCTACCAAGTCTCGGATCCAAAAAGCCAGCCCGAACTCAATTGAGTTTACCTATATTTATAGGGAATTAAGGGGTGTAACCGCCCCCCTTAATTCTCTCCATAATGGGGTTGAGAGGGGTGTAACCGCCCCCTTAATCCGCTCCTAAGTGAGACGGAAATCCCTCAAATCGTGGAGGGAAAACGGTTCCTGCAACGGTTCAGCTCGTGTTTGAATGAGTCAAATGCCCACGTTGGCGTTTAGGACCCTAACTCCGCGTTTTAGAATGGAGACGCGGAGTTGGGTAATCGCTGGGTGTTGAAAAACACGAGGGCCGCTCGTGTTTTGGAGTCTAAAGGTTGGAAACGCGGGGGTCGCCTGCGCTTCGTTTGCTGAAGGTTGGAAACGCGAGGGTCGCTCGTGTTTTGCTTGTTGAAGCTTGGAAATGCAGGGGTCACCTGCGTTTCAGGAATTGAAACGCGAAGATGAATTCCGCGTTTTAGAAGGAGCCAATGACTTATATCTTCTTCTGCAGAGCGTTGCAAAAACTATTATCTTGTAATCTTCATCTTAGCTCCTTGAAAATATGAGAGTTGTCAGATTGTAACTCCCGATGTTGATTGTGAAGGCTGTTGATTAGAGCTTTCATCAGTTGTTGTGAAGGTCGTCAGATTGTAACGTTCATCGATCTATGTGAAAGTCTTCAAATTATAGCCTTCTGGAAGTCGTCAGATTGTAACTTCCATCGTCGGGGTTTGATGAGAGATCAGCTATCTATTTTGATTTTTAGACAGCCTGCAACTATATTACAACAATTTTCTCCTTTTCCGTAACAAAGCAAATGCCGGATAGAAATTTGATAGGACAAATTTTAAAAGTAGACCCTTTAGAAACTTATTTTTAAAAACAATCCTTTTTGTAAATATTTGCTATTTTTGACTCAATTTTGGTCACCTGATTAAAACTGTGTCGAAAATGATGAAAAAAATAATAAAAACTTTACGGGATTTTAAGTCCCGTGAAGTTTAATGCCTCGTTAGCGCTAACCCGAAGCGCTAATGAGGTCTAAAATGAGGCCTTAAACTTCACGAGATTTAAAATCCCACGAAGTTTTTAATGTTTTTTCGTCACTTTCGACCCAATTTCAGTCATGTGGCTAAAATTAAGTCAAAAATGATAAATATTTTAAAAAGAGGTCGTTTTTTAAAATTAAGTTTCCAAAGGGTTCTATTTTAAAATTTATCCACTTTGATTGTAGTAGATCCAGACGAAGATACTATAACATTTACAGGTAATAAAGCATATCAGAATACATTTTCTAATAATAAATCATATCAGAATACGTGTCTTGCTAAGGTCATTAAAATGCACTGATGATTAAAATCGTATCAGAATGTTGATGTGTATTGATGATTAAGGCGATAAAAATGTGCTAGAATATTTTCATCTTTTTTTTTAAATCTTTAATGTCCTTTGCCCTTTCTTTCTTTTGGCTTAATTGTACTACGTTGAACTTGTATACACTAGCTTGTAGTTTGCTGCACTGGTTTATCCTAAGGTTCTCAAAATTTGAACTTTAATACCCTTAATTGTGCAAAGAGAGGCACTAGAGGCACACTCTCCACCACACCTCCAACCACACCTCCCCTTACTATAGTGCACTGGGGCTCAATTTTAAATCTCAAGTGGGCACTGATGTATTGTAGCAGGAGGGGAGGTGTGGTTGGAGGTGTGGTGAAGAGTGCACCTCTATCATTTCTCTTGTGCAAAGGTGATAGCTCCGCTCTGAAACTTCTCATGCTACTTCTAGAATATTTTTAACTCTTAATATTTGCTAAATTTACCGTTCAACCTATCAAAATTTTATTCTAAAATAGAATCGTGACAGTTTTAAAATAGAATCGCGATAGTTATAATAATAAGTTTAACAAAAAAAAAACGCAAGGTTAAAATGCTCTAAAATTAGTACGTGAGCGTAATATGAGAATTTTCGGGAAAGTATCACACGTCTGCATAATGGAGGGGTATTAAACTGTAAATTTTAAAAACTTCAAGATATATAAACGCAACCAAAAAACAAGTGAAGGTAAAATCATGCAAATCACGGAAACTATAGGGTATTCCGGTGCGATTAAGCCTTTTGTTTTATCCTTATCCAAATTGATGGGAACAAGAGATCTGTAGTTCACAGGAATAAGCGAAAGAGAACCTCCCATTTTTTTTGGGGGGTTTTAACAAATAGGAAACCCACTTATCCTGTGGCCTCCACAGAATGGGAGTCGAAGAAGAAGAAGAAGCTGACAATGAGCGCTCTTGCCTCATGTTATCTCAGCAATCCGAGTTCAAATCCCCCGGCCATCAATTTAAAAGTAAAATTTTGAAAAATTTAATGTCAATATAACTCTAAAAAGTTTATGGTGAGGGTTTAGTGTCATATTTTTATATTCCAAATGTATCGCTGGTTGAGCGTCCTGTTTATGGGCCGAAATGTGGACTCACGTAAGTATATTAATTTTTAAGAAAATCTGCTCTAAAATTATGGCCGGTAAGATTTAAACATGGATTGCTCTGATACCGCACGTCAAAGTCTCCGACTGAAGTTATGATGAGGGTTAAGGGTATATTTTTATTCTAGCAATACTATTCCAAACGTAGCTCGAATAAGCTCATTTTCTAGGAGATTTAGAATTTATTTTCTCTTTGAGTACATGATCACATCAATATAGCATCAAGCGGATGGATGGGACATTGCTCAATTTCAATATGTTTGAAACTGCATGATAAACTGTTGGCAGTTTGTGCAATAGAAATTTTTTACTTGTGTTTTTTATGTGCATTATGCATATCTAACCATGCGAAAGTCTAGAAGTGACAATATGTAAGTGCTATTATCCCAGTCCCACAAGAGATAAACATGAATAGCTACAATCTTATGGGAGGACTTTTAGAAGAAACCCTATAAATAAGAGTGATCGAGCGGTAAGAATTTCACGATGAGGGACATCATGAAAAACTCCAGGTGAACACAATTGATATTATAGCTTGACCCAGAACTGTGTAGAACAAAAATGTGCAAAATTAGGTATCGCATATAATGATATAATTAAGTGCTGCACAGATGGAGAACTCCTCCTGTATTCTTGAGAGCCACCACTTAAATCCATGGGGACTACCTCTCGAACCCCATACTATGTGATGTGTTAGTATGATGTGAGGAGAACACAGTGCTCTAAAATGGGAAGAATGTGTTAACCCGATTGAAGTGGAAAGGTGCCATACACGATATGCATAGAGAGGATCTGTGGTATACAATGATATTTGTAAATTCAAAACTTGATCTTAGTTACCATTTTAGGGAGAAATTATGGAAAACTTCATAATTAAACCTGCTTGGGTAGAAAGATCTTTAAGATATGTGACCTTACGGGAAGCTCCTAGCTTGGTTGTGACAGTTATCATCTGAGATTCTCATATAGACTTTCTAAAGTTAACTTGGAACTTTGTAATATACTTGTACATGATTTACCACAATTTTAAAATTTTGTTGCATACAAATGTATCACGTGTAAATCTTCTTTTATAAATTGCAAAATTGGCACATAAACCTTTCAGAAAATTACCTTTCTATGTAGCCAATTTTCAAGGTATCCATCCTTGAACTATTAAAACTAGGTTGATCTTATTTGTGCGTTATGCCAAAAAAAAATTGTACATTTTCACATCACACCTATATGAGTAAAAACCTGTATGTGCCACTGGTCATTAATGATGACCATCATATTATGAAGCAAACAATTTTAGAAACCTTGTTTCTAGACAAATAAACTAGGATCTGAATTACTAGCCAAATAATTGCAAAAATGCCGATACCTGGCAATATTGACATATCTGGCTCACGGACTTCGCTTAAAGTATTATTGAGTCTGTTTTAGCTTGTATACGTACTTTAGATAGGAGCTTTAGATGTACCGAGTGAAACCAATTTTTTAATTATTATTTTCTTTTCTAACTGGTACTTCCTGCTGGTCCTTGGGCTTTAGATGTTCCAAGTTCTGACATGTATTTGTCAGTGCTTCGTGACTACTTTTACATCTCAAGGTTTATTTGATGATAGTTTACTTAGGGATTAGAGCCTATCTTTGCGGGTTTTCTTCGTGAATAGTGTTATTATTTATTAAGGTTCAGGAAGTTAGTGAAATTTTTCTCAGACTATATGTTTTAAACTTGATACTCTTGATTTCTAATTTTTTTCCATCATTTTTTAGTGGATATTCTTAATTGTCTTCTTTGTTTTTGAATCATTATATCTCATTTGTTTGTGTGGGTTTTGTTCCTACTGCCGAATTCTCTCTATTTGTTTAGTGCACATATTTCTTCCTGGGACATTCTATGGGATGTTGGAGATTGGTTGCAGGGTTGATCATCTTCCTGTGAAGAGCCACTCTTTCATTGCAATACATTGTCTCTAGTTACTGCATATTGGTTTGATTATTTCTTGAAATATGCAGACTTGATTAACAATAAAAGTATAGACTATAAAGTGTGTGTTACTTCCCAATTTTTTCATAGTTGTCATTCTTACATAAGGTTAAAAACGAACTTGTGATGTGATGCTAGCAGTTCTGGGTGAATCAAATGAAACAAGATCATCTTCTACCGATGTTAAGGAAAAATCTGAGTCAGACAGGCTAGTTGATGGTATGGACTTTGGTGAACTATGCAACGAATTTGAGTGCCTGAGTAGCCCAGCTGTGGAGTCGACAGCAAGACAGCTAGCACGGGATATTTTAGAGTTGCGAGAAGGAAACCGTGCCTTAGGATCATATTCTGTTTCCGTCAAATATAAGGTAATAATGGATATTATTTTCATGTAAATTACTTCATATAGGTCTACCATTTCTTTCATTAGTTCATTTAGGAGGTTTGTGGATAAGAAATTTAAGACATAACACATGGTTTAACATTGATGAATAATATCTGGCCTTCATGCTATATAAGTGGTTTTAGATTTTACGTGAGCATCTTGTATATAAGTGACAAACCGTTTGCAGGCACTCAGGTGGTTGCATCATTTATAAGAAGCTAGATTAACATTATTAGGATTTGGCACCTTTCAGTCATTCTTTTGCTCATGCACTACAAATATCAGATGTTATTTATTTCCTGAGTTTGGTGAGATGCAAAAAGAGTGTTTGATGCCCTACGCCATCACCATTCATGGATTTGCCAGTCACATATATCCAAACGAGATGGACAATGATGTGCATGCTACCTGCATCAATCAATATATTATGACATGTTATATTGATGGTAATTTTTTTGTTTAATAAGCCTCAACATCTGGCTCTTTATAGCATAAATAGGATAGTGATCTTTAATATATGGGAATGTTTCCTCAATTGTATTTGCAATTTTGACACTTTCAGAAATCCAAGGATGCCTCAAATTTCTCAAATTTTAATTTTTTATTTAATTTGTAGAAAGTGGAATCAAAAAGTTAATTTTCTATTTTTCTACAAATTTCTTGTTTATTTCTAAAGAAAATGATGAAGTTCAAAAATGTTTTATGGGGCCCCACTAATGATTGATTTTATACTTGAAATGTGATATATTCACTACATAGTATTTGATAATTATTCAAAGATATAAAATGTTAATTTTTGAAATATTTTTTCTAAGTTTCTTATATTTTATGTTTAAAACTTTTAGTTAATTTCATCTTTATAAAAGTTTCAAATTATTTTGGGAAAGCTTTTTTCTTGATATTTTTATTATTTTTATCTTTTAGATTTTTTTTGAATTTGTTTAGTATGACATGCCCCATTTCATTCACTCTGTCTTCCAAATTCCTCTTTTTTGTTTAAAGCTGTGATACTAGATTTTGCTGACGTGTCACAAAATTCCACTGCCTTTTTAGTAACGTATTTCACGAAAGAAATTAGAGGAAAGCCCAGCAAGAAAGTCACTTAATAAACTCTTGATGGTTGAGCCCATTTTCTGATGCGTTTTCTAGTGAATTATCCAAATTGCTGGGAAACAAACATGCTGTGAAGTAATCGATATGTGCATGCTAATTTCCGATCTTAACCCTTGATTTTCTTTTCTCATTATGTAAGCTTGTATCTCAAAGGTTCTTGTATTCACGATTGTCATCAATTTCTTTCCTATTGCACATTAGCTCTTTTCTGCCTTTGACGGGACAAATATATGGCTTTTGCTTTAGAGGGATACATGTGGGTTGGTTCTCTAGCATGACTTCGTCAGGAAGGCCCACGAAAGAATAAGGGCGTGTTTGTTTCCTTCCATGGAAAATGCATCAGAAAACTGGGTCTCACCATGAAAATTTGTCATAGTGATTTCCCCAATGGGCTTCCCTCCATTTCTGTTGATGGAATATGTTGTTGGCAAGGGTGGTGTAGTTTCCTGATGTGCCAGCAAATTCTATAGCTAGAACAAAAAGAAAGGAATTTGGGAGAGAAAGTGAAATGTGGGCCTTACCGTAGTTAAAAAATTTGTAAAAATTAACAAACATCCCAAATACTTCCCCAAAAGAATTACAAAAAGTCGGAAGAAGTTATAAAAAACTAAAGTGCAGAAAATTGAAAATTAGAAAATCCAGAAAAACAATACAAAATTTTGAAAACTTCAAATTTATTTTAGAACAATGTAGTTGCAAAATACTATGTAGTAAACATAACCTAGTTTTAATACAAAATCAATCATAAGTAGAAATCTTAACTCCCATTTTCAACTTTATCACTTTTCTTTGTGAAAAAAGATCTTTATAAAATCTAGAAAATTCAAACTCCAATTTATGTGAATTTGAGAGATATGACCCGGTGGTTGTTGCTTTGGGAAAGAAAGAATAGGAGGGAGAAGGTGAATTGGCATAACAATTGATGAATTTTGATAGGATTGGACGTAAAGATGATGATGCATGGTATATGGAAGTTGAAAAGACATGTTTAATACTAGATAAGATAGATACTGTGATCAGAATAATAATAATTATACTAACTATAATAGTAGAAGAATAATGGATATCCTGATCATATGACAGGATTTCCTCATATACAAGGTTGAGATTGAGTCACATCATTGTATATGAGAAAATCTCATCATATGACATATGATACCCATAACCTCTAATAGTAATGATAATTATAATAAAGATGCAACAGTTGTCACCTGTTATTTCCACAACTAGCACCTGCTGTTTTAGTATATAGCAGTAGACTTTACTATCCTTCCTAAAAGCAAATGCTCTTAACTTTTAAGTTACTCTTGTGCTATGACACTTTTGTTGTGGGAAGTCCACACATTTATTTTGCTAAAAATAACAATATGTAATTAACTTACCAATGTGATTGATCTTCCATTGAGATTTGACAATGACATGTAAACACAATAGCCTAAAACTAATATGCAATATGGCATATATAATCAGTTGGAATTTACAACTTTCATGAGCTAGTCATGTCGTTTATCTAGTTCATCCTTTCAACATGACTAGGCGGAGGATACCAAAGGCTAAAAAAATTATTCTGGCTAAAGAAGAAAACTCTATATTTGTAAGGTGTTCCCATTATTTGCTGCTTGTAATTTGCCTACATGGTTTATTTTTTTTTGGGAAACATATAATTTGATTTTTATTCATAGAAAACAAACTGTATGCAATCTTTTTCCCTTATTGCAGGACCCTATTAGGACCTTTACAGGACGAGAAAAGTACAAAAGACCACTGTGGGCAACTGGTGCACTGGAGAATCCCTCTGTGGTAAGAACTACTATCGGAAATTTTATTCTAGTTTTTTTAAACTTTTTGTTATACCTTTTGCACTGTACTAGTTTAAGTTGAGCCTAGTTTTAGTCATCACACTTGACCGAGGAAACAATAATCTGATAAGTTTCCTAAATGTATTAATAGAGTAATATGACCATGTTGTAACATAGTACTTTGCAAGCATCTGGGGGGTTGTCATAGATTTCGGCTAAAAGAATCAGCTCCTGCAGTTCATACAAAGTCTGTAGGCTAATGTTTTTGTGGGACATCACTGAGAAAGTTCGTGCATGTTCATGTTAAACATTTCGAAGTCTAAATTCGTTATTGTATTAGTGGTTATACTCGACTATATGTCAAGCGTACTACATGTTTAATGCAAAGCATTAGAGACGCTATAGTTGTAGCTTTGTTTCTGACTTCATGTAACATAAAATTTCAAGTATGAACTAAATAAATAAGCTCTAATATTTATAGTTAGAATGTTATGGACACTCCTATTCAATTTCATGATAAGTGAAACTTGTTGGTTACGGTGCCTGTGAAAAGGAAAGGATGCATGATCAAAGTGGTCTTTCTTTTCAGGAAGTATGATTATCCTAGGAAATCTATGGTTTGAAGTGGAAAAATTGTCTTTTTTTCCCCTCTACATTTCAAGGGTGTTCATGCTTTGAGGGGATAATATTAACTGACCTTGCCCTCTCGGTGAGGTCATTTTATTGAAGACATCATCCACTTTCTATATGTTGTCAATAGAATAACAAGGTTTCCCAAGTATTGACTAAAAGGGCTAAATTGCTTCTTATCAATTTTAACATGAAAAGTTGTGAGTCTGTTTGTAGATATCCTTGATTCGTCTTCCATGCAAGTCAAAACTAAAAGAAGTAACTTTTCTTGCCGCTATATTGAACCTTGGTCTTCCAAAAGTGGCCATTTTAGTGAGAGAGATTCGAGTTATTAATTAGAACTTAGAAGCATATACTTCTTTTTCTTTTGCCTCAGGCAACTCGCTATAGAATATCATACTCATATCCTTTTAGTGTGTAAGGGGAATTTGGAGGGTTCTCAGTTATACATGAGCTTGAGTTGGGTGACCAAAGAGTAGATTTTTCAATACGGCATTCTAACTCATGGTTATCTTGCCTAAGATTTGGATCACACTCCATGGATTTGGTTTCGATATCAGTTAGTATCCTGCTTCTGCCAATGACAAGAATGATAAATAACTGGATGCTCTCCATTTTGATATTCTCTCTGTAACCAAGAGCAAAACTTGGCTATGTCAGCATTAACTTATTTCAGATACTTTTAGTTCTCCACTTACCAGTCTTCAAGGATAACAGACAGTTCCATGGATTTCATCTGTTGAGCTGGTGAAAAGTTTCATGCCAGTTTATTAATATTTGGTTGGTAAAGCCAATCCATTCCAATGAGCGCTAGTAAAAAGTTTCTATAATATTGTAAGACACGTGTCGAGAAGAGTCTGGCAGAGCATTCATTTTTTTAACTTTTGTAGATGCACTTCAGAAATTTAACTGCTTCTCTTTTTACCACTTAAATAACTGTTTTATTTTATTGCAGATTTCCTATTTTATAAATACTCAATTATTCTCCACACAAAGGAATATTTCTTCTAACAGTTTTTATTGATATTAGTCTCTTAAATCTTTCATATTAAATTTGTCCCTCAAATTATTGAAAATGCTATCAAGTCCTCCAATTCTTAAGTTATTGTGAAATTAGTCCCTAAAATCAAGGAAATTGCTATTGGGTCCCCCAATTCTCATAAGTTTCAAACTAGTCCAACCAATAAAGAGTAGAAGTAACAATTAGAGGGATTACTTTAAAACAACTTACGAGAATTGCGGGACCTAATAGCAATTCCGATGATTTGTGGGGAGATTTAAAAATACATAACGAATTGGGGACCTAATAACATATTCGATGATTTGAGAGACTAGTTTGGAAGTATGAAAGGTGGTAGGGACTAATATCGAAAAACTGAAGGGTGTAAGGTACTAATATCGAAAAACTATTGAAGTCAAATACTTGGCAACTGTCAATGTATGTGCTGACTTGGAAACCATGCATGCGTCAGACAGTGCAGGACATGGTTATGTTATCAACTAGCACACTCAGCATCAAGTGGACACTTCGCGGGAAACCGAAAAATCCTATATTTGCATTAGGAGGCGACTTGATTCTTCGTGTGAATTCTCAGTTCATTTTGAACCAAATAAGCGGACAAGTGATTGAACATGAGGAGTTTTGGGACGTGTCTTCATCATCCGCACTTGCTCAGGGATATTTCTGGATTTCTAGGCGGCTTTTCTCTGCAATCGAGTCTGGAAAAGATACAGTCAATGCTGCTAAGGATATAACATCTGGCTTCTCCACTGAAAAGGAGAAAATGGATGTGTATCCGGACCCATTAGGAGATCCTACAAAGGTAAGCACGGTTAGCTCATTTTGCTGTAAAAAAAAGATGACCTCCTTACCTGTACTTTCAACAGTACATGGCCCTTAACTTAGCCTTAAATTTGAAATGCCAATCCAGTGATGATAAGTGATTAAGTGATAATAAAAGAGTTGAGGTTTGATGAGAGCCATTGAATAGAGGAGGAGGGTTATTTGCAATTTATCGTAGTTTATCTTGCCAACACTGAGCCATTGCCAAGGGGGAATAAGATAAACATGTTCCTTATTGTAGAAAGTGAAATTTACCTTCTTTTGTGGGATCCTGTCTACTGAAAATTGGAAAAAAGTAATATACCGAAGAAATACGTTAGGGTCCTGAAATATAATCCATCTTTGTGGTGACATTAACCGTTGATAGCTAAGTTCTCTTACTACTGGACTTTTCTAACTAGTTTAGTCTTAGGAATAAACACCGGGTAAAGTAAGCATCATGTGAAAATACTGCATTGTCAACTATTGTAGAAATAGTACTTTAAATGAGATAGATGAAGGCTAAGACCCTGTTTGGATGGATGGGAGGTTAATGGAGGGTATGAAAAAGGAGGCGAAAAGATTCACCCCGTTGGAAGTTTCTTTGAGGGGGCAATGGAGAGAGAGGAAGGGGGGTGTAAGTTGCACTTCACTTAGCCTCCTATTATAATATGATTTGATTCCCTCCCACATTGGGGTGTAATGAAGGTGAAAGATGGTAAACTTATTATGACATGAATCCAGTGGTTGATATTAATTCAAACATATGGTGAAATAAATTCCCCTCCATCTCCTTCGCTAAGCTCCCAAACATGATACTATATTTTACCTTCTGTCTCCTTCCCATCCCCTGTTTCCCCCTTCCTTACCTTACTTTCCCTTCTATTGGTGAACTCCCAAACAAATTGTAAAAGTTAAACATTTATTCAATGATCAACTTTTTTTTGAGCTATACTCGGCTACTGGTTGATCACTGTAAGAAATTTCGGAAGCTTAATATCACGACGCAAAATTTTAATTTTTTCCTTTATCCACTATCCAAAACCAATTTTTTCCCTTCAAATTAAATAGTTGCTGCTATAAAACGTTTTACATGGTAATTTTAGGAGTACTTGCCTATGTATATTTCGTTATTTCCCTTCATATTTCTTGAATCTACTCTCCACAAGCGCGCACGCACACACACATACATATAGAAGCGATATGATGAGATGGTTTGCTTAACGTCAGATGGACAATTTACATTGTTAGATTCAAATTAATGGTTAGATTTAAACCAATAGGTTAATTAATTAATGATATATGAGTCCCATATTTATATGATTTCTCTACCAAATCTTCTCTAAGATTTTCCATATCTTCCCTTCCGACTCCTCTCTTTCTTATTTGGGTTTGGGTTCAGGTTAGGGTTAGTGGTTTCATGTTCGGGTTTAGAGTTAGGGTTCAGATTAGGTTCCGGTTCGGCTTCGGGTTAGGGTTAGTGGGTTTAGGTTTGGGTTTGGGTTAAGGTTCAGCTTCGGCTTCGGGTTAGGGTTAGAGAAGATTTGGTCGGAAAATCAAACAATTATAAGGCCATACGTCTTTAATTAATTAACCTATTAGTTTAAATCTAACTATTAATTTGAATGTAACGGTGTAGAATGACCATCTCACAATAAGCAAATCATTTCACTATATAACTATATATATATATAGATCTAAACCTTAAAGCCATGATTAATTCAAAGAGATTAACAAGAATCAAAAGGTGCGGAAGCATATACCTGAATCCTTGAGGAAAACCTGATTAAGGTTTTTGATGATCTTTTAACATTAGGGTTTCTCCCTTATGGATCTCTTTAGATGAGGATAAGAGAATGAGAGTGGCTAACCCTAGATTAGGGATCATAACCCATATATATAGGTGTTGTACATTTGTAATTTGGCCCCTCATCAAATTACAATTACAACATGGTATCTGTACATATAACCTCATGATTTATTTAAATACCCATTAAACCAAATTGATTGATCACTTTAAGTGAGTTATCCTTAAAGATAGCAATACACATTGATTAATCATATGTGCCCACAATTAGATTTAATTAGATTTAAATCCAACATTTATAAGTTATATATTTCAGACTTATGATGCAGTAGATAATTGCACTCTGAATCGCCCCTCGAAACTTTTGTGGGATTACGATTCATGGGAACCACTAAGACTCCAATACTGAAGTGCTAAAATTAATCACTGTAGACTAACAAGCTTCATGGTGGTGCTTGCTTTTGTCTCAGTTTTTTCAAAGGGACGACGGTTTTATGAGAGATGCTTATCAGATTGCGTTGTTTCTGGCTATCATCTACTTCGTTGTACAGTTTTTGAGGCAAACTGTATGAATGGATGCCTTTTAGTTCCACTTTCCAAATTTTTGTGTTATTATTGTTTATAACTCACATCATGTAATATTAAACACCCGTTTGTATGTCTATTTACCAAATTATATGTATATGATTACGATGAACACATCCGTATGTGTTGCTCTACCGTGACTGGTAATATTTGAGGGGACTGTAGAAATATTGAAATATTGTTAGCAAACAGCAGCATGTCGTTTAAAATCTTCAGTTTGATCGAATTAAAAGGCCCGGGCATCTGAAATCGAAGGATTGAAAATGGAAATTTCACCATTTAGTAAGACCTACTCGTAACCGTTTCAAATTCAATCAACAGCTGGAGGATTTATTGAAGTATTCCTTATATTTTGAGATAAATATACAAAACTATTGATGTTATATTTTCTCAAATTATCGTAAGCAATATGGATTCAAATGCTCTCCAATTAGGTGATAATTGGAGAGTCTCAATTTCTCCAATCATTGCTGTACATTTCAAACTCAAACTCAATGGATGATATTAGACCGCAAGATGAAACCATTATGATTTTAAAAATCATTATTTTTCAAAATCCACTATTGGAAGAATTGGAGACTCTCCAAGTATCACCTAGTTGGAAAGGATCGGGATCCAAACAATATATATTGCCTTTTGCATTACAACAATGCTATTTGACTCGCTATTGTGGCTCGCTCTCTCAACTCGCGCCCACGTGGAGTGCCAGCTCAGCAAATCCAGCCTGTTCTCCACCTTCCCCAAATCGTCCAATTCAACACGAGATTGTTTCTCTCCGTCCCCAAATTTTCTCTTCCTTCCCCAAATCTACAGGCTACCACCGTCCTCCCCCTCCCCAACCCCAGCTTCAAATCCGCCTCATTCTGGCCACCTTCCTCCCCTCCCCCAACCCCCCCGTCAAATCCGCCATGGCTGGAATCGCCGCCGCCCCCTGAATCGCACCCAAATTGACGAGATCGAGGCCGCGATCAAGCAGATCCCTTCCTCCTAGGCCATTGAAGCCCTTCAAAACAGGTACCTTTCATCTAGATTTGATATATTTCGGGTTAGGGTTTTTTATGAGAGAAAATTTGGGTAGTTGATTTAACGCTGGGTATTTTAACCCATTTGGTATTGATGCACTATGTTAATCTTTTATTTGATTTTTTTGTTTGAGCATCCAGATTCGAGAGGCATACTGTGTAGCTAATTTTCCTTGCATTATAAAATCTACCTTCTAGCTTCTAGCTAATTTCTGTTGTTAGTCTGTCCCAAATTGGTCCTTTGCATTATAAAATCTGCCTTCTAGCTAATTTATTGAGTGAGATTCCCTTTTTCTGTTGATGCTTGATGGTGAAAAAACAGCGAAGGAATTTGAGTAGGTATGAAACCAATTCTTCACCCAAGGAATTTGAAACCAATTCTTACATGGTCCATTTTTTGTTGATATCTGATTGTAGAAATTTTATCAATCTTACGTTTGTAGATTGAAGAAGCATTGAGCAGGTATGAAAAGCATTTGGTAGTGATGCACTATGTTAGACTTTTATTTGATTTTATTATTATACTCTAGACAGAATAAACAAGTGGATGTGCTCATTATTCCTTGTTTATTTTGAGATTCATAATCTTATCTTGGGTTAGCTGTATAAAATTTACAGTTTATGGCTGATAATTTTAATTTACAGTTTTTTTCCTTAAGAGAGTGACGTATGGTCTAAAACTTTCTTCTACTGCAGAATCATGTCGTCAACATCTTCTCAACAATCATCCTCTTCTCAACGGGCAATGTTCCTTGATAGGAGGCTATATGTTGCAATGTGGAATCGTCCACCTCCATACGAGATTCCAAATTGCTTTTGTGGGATTCCAGTGCAAATGAAGACTTCTTACACCCCGAGGCATCCGTGTCGTCGATTTGGAATTTGTGCTACGAACACTTGTAATTGTTGGACTTGGTTAGATCATGGTGAAGTACCAAGTTACGCTCACGACGCAATGAATATATTTATTCGCAAGTTTGAAGAGCTTTCAATTGAAAATGAGAAATTGAGATCAAGAATACATGGGAAAGAAAATGGAGTTTGGAAGAAACATATTCAGGAAAAAGGCTTTCTAATTGGAATTTTTGTTGGTTTCATGATGTCCATTTTTCTTGTAATAATATCCAAGTAAGGGTATGTTTTTTGGTTTGGACCTTGTACTATTTTGCTAACTCAACTATGTAATGAAAATCAGTGTTCAATGAAAATCAGTGTACTATTTTGCTAACTCAACTATCAGGATTTAACTCCTAAAGGATTACGAAGATGGGGCTCATTACTTGCATCAAGCTCAAGCTCAAGGTCATCCTAAAGGAAGAACATGTAATCTTGATTTACTCATTTTGATTCCTGTAACTGTACAACTTGGCTCGGCTCAGTAATTTGCACTTGAAATGTAACTTCTGAAACTTATGCATTATGTGCCATTGAGACAACATATCTTCTAGCTGAGCTAGCTTGTTGCACAAGTACAATGTTTAAGTAACTCATGTTTAAGTTGGATTCAATTGTGCCAGGTTTAAGTTGGTCTAAATTGTGCCAGGTTTCAGAACATGAGTCAGAGAGATATCAAGCTCAAACTGGCTTTTTTTATCGTATCAACATCAGTTGGAATTCTTGTTTGCTTTATTCTAAACCTTAGTCAGATAATGTGTGATCCTTGTATTCTGAATTAATCTCAATTCTCTATCAACATCAGCTTGTGTTTTTTTTCACCATTACATATGTGAGACCCCGAATAGCATGAAGGAGACTGTTTGAGACAGCAGGAGAACCACTTGAAAGCTGTTTTCTAAAGAGTAAAGAGACCTTGGAAACTAAATGCATAGTTCATGGATTTCCAACAGCACACAGAAGACAGAAGACTGAAATCACACAAGTAATCACATACCACAAAGTCAAGTCCACAAGTAATCACATACCACAAAGTTTTCACACAAGTAATCACATACCACAAAGTCAAGTCCACAAGTAATCACATACCACAAAGTCAAGTCCACAAGTAATCACATACCACAAAGTTTTCCACAAGTAATCACATACCACAAAGTTTTCACATAATAATCACATACCACAAAGTTTTCCACAAGTAATCACATACCACCAAGTTTTCACATAATAATCACATACCACAAAGTTTTCCAACAGCACACAGAAGACAGAAATAGCTCAAAGATAACATAGTTTTCCAACAGCAGTAACAGAAGAGCAGGAGCAGCAGGACAATAACATTCGTATGCAGTAACAGGCAATGAAAAATCACACTCTGGATCAATTTAGTTTCATGCACACTAGTCACACAGCAGGTCCACCTGAAAGAAGACTAGCAAGTCCACCTGAAAATCACACTCTGGAAAATCACACTCTGGAAAATCACACAGCAGGTCCACCTGAAAGAAGACTAGCAAGTTAGTTTCATGCACACTAGTCAAATATGTATACTACATGAATCAATTTATAATTAGGGATGGAACCAGATTGAAAATTGAGTGCTCGTCGGATGGATCTTCTCCGTCGGCGAGCGGCGTTCTTTTTGGCTTGTTTCAAAGCCTTTGCAGCAACGTCATTGACGTTTACAGGACTCGTCTCCTCCAGAGGCCGTTTGTGGCCTGAAGCACGTCTTGCTGACGCGGAGGTGGGATCTTCCGCCATCAGAGCCAGTTTGAGTTCCTGGCCGAAGGAGAGGGCTTTCTTCGGCTCTTCAACAACAGAATTGATCTCCTTGGAGATCTTGCGGACACCATGCTTAGCCTTGGGGCTAAGCGATCCAGAGGATAGGGCTTCCTCGTATTTCGCCTGATCAAACTCTACGACGAGAGTTTCTACAGTCGTTCCCAAGAGGTGGACGTCGGACTGAGCCACCACTTCATCGTCGGAAAAGCTAGTCCCCAGCGGAGTCGCCATCTTTTGTATGTAGGGAAAATTGCAAAGAAGAGAATAAAGAAAATGTGATTTTGATTCCTTTGATCTCGGTTACAACTTGATTACAAAAGAGAGGAAAACGAATTTGGTTTTCCCATTTGTTTAAAAATTGGGTTCTTCTTGGCAGTGATGGAGTGCTTCCTTCGATTGATTGCGTCGAACTTGCTCTCCGTTGATGATCCGACCGTCTTTATCTC